GGTGACTAGAACATTCTAAATTTTAAACTAGTATTCTATATTCACAATGATCTGCCTGGATATTACTTAAAAAATAATCTATTGGCAAGAACATAATTCTTGACTTGCTGATCTTTTGATTGAGGCATTTCAGTTAATTTCTAGGATATTTGTTCAAAACTTCTGGTTTAAAAAGATAATCAAAGAGTGGGAAACTCCTTTAGGACCCTTTGATCTTTCTCAGTTTTCTTTGGTCTGAATTTTCTGTGTTTTGAAGGAAACACTGTCACTCAGTGTACAGTCCCGGGATGAAAAAATAGTGGTTAGTTTCTATTATGCCCATGAGAAAATCACCCTTGCCTGTTATTATACAGCAATGATAAGGTATCTTAGACTTATACTTTTCCAGAACTCTGATAATTCTTCAAGCCATGACAGTAAATCTTATCTCTACCCTTGTGGGCTTGAGGTTGTTGAATTTACATTTCTGCAACCTTTGGAAGACCCCCACATTCAGTGTTCCTAGATTAGATAAAAGGAAAAATGCTTATGTTGTTCTTGTCATTTCTCTTTTGGCCAGCAGTTAGCCTCCTACTGTGTGAGCACTTAATCTAAACTACAGCAATTCCAATCTTGAATTCCAGTCTTCTCAACTGTCCAGCATATAATACTTCTGTCTTCTTGATAGCTTGATTTCTTTTCCTGAAGATGTAGACAATTTAGGAAACTTGGAAAGAAGTTTAAAAGCACAATTCACTTTTTTAACAGGCCACCACCACCTACTAAATGCAAGGGCAAAAGTAGTGGTGGAATGTTGCCGGTGTAACAACTGGTTTGCTAATCACGCACTTTGTGCACATGGACAACTTTCAAAACCACTTCCCTTCAATGTTACTCCAGGGAAGTAACACAGCTGAGGCGTAGCAATCCACTCTGCCATGTGAATCAGTTGAGCAGATATAGATGAGTCAGTGCAGGGGCGGGAGAGTGAACCCACATGATTGTCGGAGTAAACCGGTTTGGAGCCAGCTGATAATCGGAGCTAGGGGTTCACCCAAACCAGTCCGAACTGCCAGAATTCCACCCCTAGGTAAAAATCATAAAATAAATGGCTAAGTTGTGTAATGCCTTTAAGAGAGCAGCCCCTTTGGTGCTACTGTACATAGTACTTTACTGCATTTACCAAATGACAATAGATTTATTATACAGAGACCAAAATGTTACTTATGCATCACTGCTTCTCTCAAAAGACAAAAAAGCCAGAGATCTGCATAATGTCCATGTGCTAAATTAAACATTTTCATGCACATTTAAAAATAATTACTATCCATTTAAAACACACACACACACACACACACACACATTTATCAATAAAGGGGAAAAGTAGCAGAATTTTGCATCTGCTCAACTTGCTGTTGTTGGATAATTTCAAAGTTCCATCTCTTTCCTAGTTCTTTATCCTAAAATCAGGCTTAGACTCGGCTTCAAATAGCAGCCGCAAGTAGGGGATTGTCCTTATTAAATAATAGCAGAACACTAGGTTAATCAGTCCTGACACCGGTAGAATATTTGAGAAGCAGTGTGCTCCAACACATCTCTTCCATTAGAGAATAAATTGTCTTGTTACTTTCTCTAATTTATGTCAATAATGTCATATCCCTCCAGTGGTGGTATGCTACTGGTTCTACCCAGTTCTGCCAAGCTAGTAGCAGTGATGATCAGCGGAGACCGAACCGTTTCTCTCCGCTGCTCTGCTGTTGGGCCTACATGCCCACCAGGGCTCCCATCCTCACCTTTATCTTCTGCTTTTAAAGCGCAGCTGCTTTGCGCAGCACAGAAGAGTGTCAGCTTGCAGGAAGTGAGTTGGAATGCCCCAGCATCTGCACAAACATCTCTGAGCCTTTATAAAGTGCGCATTTGGCATGCTCACCAAGCCATGGCCCACTGAACTGGTGGTAAAAGTTTTTGAATCCCACCACTGAATCCCTCCCCCTCTGTTGAGAGAGGCTGTTCAGTTTTGACATAGATAACCTCTTTGACCCTTCTGTCAACCCAGTGGTTCTCTCTGTCAAAAATGTGGACTTGGATGCTTCTTGGATGAGAAGTGAAATGTATTTAAAAAAACAGAAAGTCCAATTGCTTTTTTTTTTTTTAAAAAAAACAAGTTTTATTGATTTTACAAACAAACAAAACAAAACATCATTAAACATTAAAAACATAAAACCTCTTTCCATTGTAAATCTTTACAAGGCAGGTAACACATTACTTTATATCACATACTTATAATTTATCCCATTTCCATATAAACATGTAAATTCCCTTTACCAAATTCCACATTGTTTCTCTTTAATCATTATTCAATCATATTTCCTTTCAAATTTATCTGCTATTCAATCATCGCATTTATATTTTCCTCTGGCTTGTTTATAATTGTTCTCATCTAGTCTTCCTCTGAGATTTTATTATTTAATTCTTAATTGGACACACACACATAAGACATAAACATAAAAACATAAAACTTTCTTTTAGAAAGTAACTTGGCCCCAGATTACCTCTTTTTGTATGGACTTCAATTGAATTCATGCTCTTCTTATATACCATTACCCATCTTGTTTACTATTCTATATCTATTATATAACTCCTCTCCACTTTTGCCTCGTCTTAATTCTGTTTTATATATTTAATCTTGCTTTAAAGAAAAATATGTTTATATCTTTTGTCCATTTCTCCATTTACATCTGTCTCATTTCCAATATAAAAAAGAATAATTTCCCCTGGAATCACTAATTACAGTATGATGCCTTTCTATCATTCCCCTAAATTAAAATTTAAAATAACACCTAAATCCAATCAGATTCTGCTTAGTACATTCTACTATTTCAGAAACCAATACTACAATAATAAATCCATAACAAGTCAACACATTAATCCATTAAACTCTATATTTAAACTAATATTTTAAACATTCCCTTTAGTATTTTATTAAAACTTAAAATCATTCATTATTAAACATTTTAAAGTTATACCTTAATATTTTAGTCTTTTATTAGATCTTAAAAAGTTCTGATTATCTACTTATAATACAAATACCACTATTACAATACTCATGTGTACTTTGCAGAATCCCCCTTTTTTTTAAGAAAATAAAACCCATACATTACCCATTATCCCTAAAAAAAATTTTCTTTTCTCCATCTTGTTTTATACCTTTGTAACTTTTCTCCCCCTTTTCCCTTTCCTTCTTAGCCCGCCTAAACTTTTTACCCCCTCCTCTCCAAACCTCTGCCTTCTTGGTTTCCCCTTTCTGTTGCATTCCTCTTTCCTTTTGCTTTCTAGCATTCTGTTGTTTTTGCATCTTCTTTTTCTCTTTCATATTTTTTTTTTATTTCTTAAGTCCTTCCTTTTCGCTCCTCTCTTTCTCCTTTCTTTCTTAGTCACACCATTTAGTTCATTAAAAATGGCTTCTTCTTCCTCGGCTTCTTCCAGCTGTTGTTTAATTTGCTGACACATGACAAGCGCCATATCTAGGAAACAAAGGGCTTCTCCCATAACACCTTGGCCTTCTTTCCTTATTTTTAAATATTGTTTTTTTAGTTCATCAAGAGATAGAGTCATTTTAAACTGTTTCTTCTTCTTTTTCTGTATCCTCTTATTATTAAGCCAATCAGTTATTCCAAACTTAAAACAGTTCCCAAAAGTCCCAAAATCCCGCAATCATCAAACAGTCCAGGCAGAGTACAAACTTCTTCTTTTTACAATTTCTCCTCTAGGGGTGAAGTCAAATTAGGGAAAGAAAAAACATCCAGTCTGTGCTTTAAATCTTTTTTAGAATTAATTTCTATTCTCTTTATCTTCAAGGCATCTCCTCCAGCAAAGTGTTAGAGTATTTTTTTTTCCAAGCCTCTCCCTTCCCACTTATAACAAAGGAGTTTAGGTTTTACCTTCTATTAAAAGGCAGGTTTCCCTTGTCCATTTGTTAATTCCATAAGGGAGGGAGAGTAACTTTCCCTTTTCATCACTTTTCTTCGCCGCTGAAAACATCAATCGGGAACTTTGTAGCATCCAGAAAAAAGCCAATCCTTTCCCAGGTGTTGAATATGTCCTTAAGGTCCCAGTTCGACCAAGAAAAATCTTTTGTTTTAAAACTCCTTCTTCTTCCTCCTGCACATTCTTTATCCAGTTGCTGGCTTCTTTATGGCGGCCATTAAGACCGCCGCTCCACCATCTTGAGAGAAGGGGGTTATTGCCGGCTGGGGAGGGGGTTTGCGATACTTCTCTACCCCTGTCCTGATCCCCCCTTTCTTCAGCTGCCCCAACAGGGCAGCCTTAGCCTCCAAATCCGTCAGGATCGGAGGCACCAAGGCGGCTAGCACAGCAGGGATCATGGAGAAAAGCGAATCCCTGCTGTCACTGAAGCCGACAAACCGGAAATCTCAGAAAGTCCAATTGCTTTTTGAAAAGGCACTTTTGGGACAACCATGACCTGGATAACTGAGAATCTCCATAGAAATAGTGTTATTAGTATTACTAGTAGTAATATTATAACATTACTAATTAGTGCCTCGGAAATATTACTTTTAAAAATTAATAGCTTATCTATAACTTGGAATTATACAATACATTGTACTACCTAAGAAATTTATTTATGCATACCCTAGCCATTAGCATAGCAATAGCATTTAGCCTTATATACTACTTTACAATGCTTTACAGCCCTCCTTACAGAGTCAGCATATTGCTCTCAAAAATCTGGACCCTCATTTTACCAACCTTGGATGGATTGAAGGCTTAGTCAACCTTGAGCCTGGTGAGATTGCCAAACTGCCAAATTGCAGGCAGATGGCAGAATTAGCCTGCAGTACTGCATTCTAACCACTGTGCCACCACCACCCATTAGTATATTTCAGTATAGGGAAATACAAAGTAAATCCAAACTATATGGTGCAATCCCTACTCTGTCCTCTGTAGTATAAATGGAGTTTATCAGCCACATTAATAAACAATGTTATTCCTTCTTGCAGGGTGACCTCCAGAGAACAAATATCCAATTGGATTTTGGGGATGGTACTGCTGTATCCTATGCTAATTTCAGTCCTGTAGAAGATGGTATCCGACATGTTTATAAGAGCACTGGAATCTTCCATGTGACAGCTTATGCAGAAAATAACTTGGGTTCTGATTTGGCAGCACTTTTCCTGCATGTGGTTTGTAAGTAGATGGACTCTGAAAAATCTCTTGGTTTGATTAAATGCAGAGTTCATAGCTCTGGAAGACTTGCCTCTTAAATCCAATTTCTGTAATCTGATTACCTTACTATTTTAGGTCATTCACCTTTATATTTTTAAACATTGTAAAAGTTCAAATATTTCCTATTAATAGGGTTTTTACTCAGGCCTACCAGTATAAACATTAATAGATTCTACTCTCAATAGGAGAATTACAGGAATATGGTTGACTTTCATACTGTTTTTTCCAATTACTCCCACATTTTGCTCAAATTCAAATAACATATATAGTGTAAAGGAGTAAATTGCAAATATAAATCATATTTAATAAAAAGTTTAAAATATTAGAATAATTTTATAAATTTATAAGAATAAAAGAATAGTAGAATATCATAAGAATAGTTTAAGGATATTTTTGTCAGAATTATCAAATTGAACATCAGTTTTAGGCATTTTTTCCATATTCAAGAGAAACATAGGTTTGGTAGTGTGCTTTCAAAATTGCCATTCTTTTGTACTTTAGAAGAAAACATGGGTAATTATTTGCCTGAAATGGAAAACATTCATATTTCAATGGCAGAATTCTTTCTTTGGTACAAAAACAATAACCAATATTTTGTCATATGAAAAAATAAATGTATGCAAATTCAGCTATTGGACTGGGTCATCTTGCGACTTTATGTAGTACATGTACTTTTTAGCTTCACATTGTTACATTTTGTACTTTTTATAATAGACTTGTACTCTTTTTGTACATTGATTAGAATTCTTTTAGTTTGATAAATACAGAAGTGGGTGTTAGTTTGGCATAATTGTGGAATTTGGTGCCCTGAATATGTCATAATGTTCTTTTTAGATTTGTAAACATACAGAGTTAAAGTGAAGTGCAGTACTTCAGTAAATCATGCTGGTCTGTTAACCTTGGAAACAATGTTGAAGGAGACTGTTATTCTATATTATACACTGCCTGTATAATAAGTCTTATTGAACTCAGTGAGTCTTTCAGGCATGCAATAGCTTGCCCTTCTTAGGGACTGGTAAGTATTGTAATATGATTGGGATATTTGAAGTTAGTGAACCATACATAATTACTACAATAATATTCAATAACCTGTTGCACTATGCATGAAATAATAGAATATGGCAAAGATAGGACAAGACAGGACAGGACAGGACAGCACAGCACAGCACAAACGTACTTTATGTATAATCAAGATCCTTGGAGGAGGTTGGCTAAAAAGAGGCAAGATAGCTTTATTTGTAAGAGAGCTAATAGAGCTAATGACTTTATCAGTGGATTCAGTGTTAACCTTTTTAGTTAAATTGCATTTAATTTTGCATTTAATATAATTTAATTATCATTACTTAATATAATTATCATTACACCAGTTTCTTGGGAAGGACTTGATAGATGGACAAAATTGCCAAATCAAGTTTAAATGTCTGGATGACTGTGTGTCCAATCATAATATACTACATTTATATTCTGCATGACTGCCAGCAATTCTGAGTTCTTTATGAATTATTAAAAACATTTCAGATAAGAAAAGAAGATAAAGCAAAAAAGAAATAAAAGTAATAGAGAAGTTATGCTTCCACGGTCCAAATAGATCAGTTGATCAATTGATGGAATCTGACATACACCAATTCTACTAATTTGGAAAATACAGTATATTGACTCCTGCTTCTTTGTGGCAAGCCCTTAGATATGGGAACACTGCTGTCAGGGCTAGGAGTGACCTGATAGCAGTGTTCCCATATCTAAGGGGCTGCCACAAAGAAGAGGAGGTGTGTCAAGCTATGCTCCAAAACAGCTGAAGGTAGGACAAGAAGCAATGGATGGAAACTAATCAAGAACCTAAAACTAAATTTCCTGACAGAACAATTAATCAGTGGTTCAACTTTGCTTCAGATGTTGTGGGTACTCCAACACTGGAGGTTTTAAAGAAGAGCTTGTTCAACCATTTGTCTGAAATATGTTTGAGCAGGGGATTGGACTAGAAAAGAACTCAAAAGTCCTTTCCAACTCTGTTATAGATCAGATTAGCCATGTTGATATTCTGGGAGATAGGCAGTCCCTCGGGTAACTAGATTCTATGTCATATAGGACATACAGTATAGTAACAACCCAAGCCTTGAATTGAACTCCGAAGAAAATTGGCAACCAATGTAGCTTATAAAGCAGAGGTGTTACATGGTCATATGGAAGCATGCTTGTCACTGCCATGCCACTGCTTTCTAGACTAGATGGTCTTCCAAAGATTTTTTTAATCTGCAGTTTATTTTCTCTGCTTATAGAAGCAGTGTTTATCAACAAATTGAACCTTAATGAATCTAATTAATCTCATAATCCCTATAAAATTATGATTCATATTTTTATAGGAATTCTCAGCAAAACAATTTTTATCATTCGGGTCAGTTTCTAATCAGGTTCATGATCTTTATCATGCATGCTTAGAAGCAGAAAGAATTGTGTTCTGAAAGAACAAAGAGCAAGATAAGTTAAGAGCAAGCCAACAAACAATAAAATGTGAGTCTACTTCTTTCTGTTGCCTGTTTTCCATCCAGACCTAATCTCATTTGTTTAACCTCTGAGCTCTTCACCAAGACAGCAATTAATACCCAATAACTGTTGATGTATTAAAGTCTTATCCTGAAGAAACAACCTATTATATACCTATTATTGGGTAATTTGTTTTGCAAGATTTTATAGGGAGATTTATAAACTGTGATGCTCTTGTACTGATTTTCATTTTTCTTTTTGATGATATTTTCTTTTTTAGAATGTGAAACCTATTGCTAGCATATATGATTCTGTTATAATCTTTTTAAGAAACAGTACACATTTATCTTTCTTTTTTAAGAAACAGAATGCAGTTATCTTCACAGAAACAGCAGCCCTCACAATCCTTAAATTGTGTTCTGCCCTTTCTTCAACTTTTTAGTATTCTCTGATGTCTATGGTGCCCTTGAAAACATTCTGTTTGCTTGTCACATTCAGAGGTCAAAGTTGAATGTTATTCTTATTCTTGTGCATGCAAATATATGGATATGACACTTGTGCACATATTTATTACACTGGCAGGAGATAATTTCCACTAATTATTTCTTACTTTCATACTATAGTTTTCTTTTCCATATCTATGTGTGTCTTATTGATCATTTCCTCCTCCTTCCTGCTTTCTCCCTTATCTCTTCTTTTTTCAAGAATAATTAAAAATTCCTCCTAAATGCAAAACCTTCCTTATATTTGAACTGACTGGACAATAGCTATGATAAATAATTGCAAGGTCTCACCTGCTTACAATTAAAGCCTTTAATCTAACTGGAGGCACTGGAGCAAATTGCTTACCAATAAGATGCATTTTTCTCTGCCAATATATATATATATTATTTTAAGAATATTTGGGTTGGAATTTATTCCAGATTTCCAGGAGAAAAAGGTTGCATTCCATCACAATATCTGAATTATTTTCTCCAACAAGATAATTTTATGACAATGTAAATTAATTTAGATGCTCTGATATAGTGTCCCCCAAATCCCCAGCTCAAACTTGTTCTAGAGGGATACCATGGTTGATAATATTGAAAGACACTGATATAAAAAAGTGCTACTAGGTCTATTAATCCCATTCAGATTATAGACAATATGGATATAAACATATGCAAATATTTACCTATATACATACATCAATATAAATATATGCATGTATGTACCATTACCTACTCAGGTATTCCTCAACATATATCTGTGCATTGGTTTTTATCTTTTGAATGATCTTATCACTTACCATATTAAATAAAGTTTACTATTACTTTCATCATTTCTCTTGCTTATTAGCATTGTTTTGAAGTATAGTTCTGTTTTCAGAGTTATTAATGATTCTGTCCATTTTGGTTTTGGCATCTGCAAAGGTGACAAGCATTACTGTGTCTTTTTATCTTAATCTTTGCCAAAATACACTTCTCAAAAAAATAAAGGGAACACTTAAACAACACAATGTAACTCCAAGTCAATCACGCTTCTGTGAAATCAAACTGTCCACTTAAGTAGCAACACTGATTGACAATCAATTTCACATGCTGTTGTGCAAATGGAATAGACAACAGGTGGAAAGCATAGGCAGGTAGCAAGACATCCCCAATAAAGGAGTGGTTCTGCAGGTGGTGACCACAGACCACTTCTCAGTTCCTATGCTTTCTGGCTGATGGTTCGGTCAGTTTTGAATGGTGGCGGTGCTTTCACTCTAGTGGTAGCATGAGACGGAGTCTACAGCCCACACAAGTGGCTCAGGTAGTGCAGCTCATCCAGGATGGCACATCAATGCAAGCTGTGGCAAAAAGGTTTGCTGTGTCTGTCAGCGTAGTGTCCAGAGCATGGAGGCACTACCAGGAGATAGGCCAGTACATCAGGAGATGTGGAGGAGGCTGTACGAGGGCAACAACCCAGCACCAGGACCACTACCTCCACCTTTGTGCAAGGAGGGACAGGAGGAGCACTGCCAGAGCCCTGCAAAATGACCTCCAGCGGGCCACAAATGTGCATGTGGCTGCTCAAACAGTCAGAAACAGACTCCATGAGGGTGGTATGAGGCCCCAACATCCACAGGTGGGAGTTGTGCTTACAGCCCAACACGGTGCAGGACATTTGGCATTTGCCATAGAATACCAAGATTGGCAAATTCACCACTGGTGCCCTGTGCTCTTCACAGATGAAAGCAGGTTCACACTGAGCACATGTGACAGACGTGACAGGGTCTGGAGATGCCATGGAGAACATTCTGCTGCCTGCAGCATCCTCCAGCATGACCGGTTTGGCAGTGGGTCAGTAAAGGTGTGGGGTGGCATTTTTTTAGGTGCCGCACAGCCCTCTGTGTGCTCACCAGAGGTAGCCTGACTGCCATTGGCTACCGAGATGAGATCCTCAGATCCCTTGTGAGACCATATGCTGGTGCAGTTGGCCCTGGGTTCCTCCTAATGCACGACAATGCTAGACCTCATGTGGCTGGAGTGTGCCAACAGTTCCTGCAAGACGAAGGCATTGATGCTATGGACTGGCCCACCCATTCCCCAGACCTGAATCCAATTGAGCACATCTGGGACATCATGTCTTGCTCCATCCACCAACGCCACATTGTACCACAGACTGCCCAGGAGTTGGGGATGCTTTAGTCCAGGTGTGGGAGGACATCCCTCAGGAGACTATCCACCACCTCATCAGGAGCATGCCCAGGCATTGTAGGGAGGTCATACAGGCACATGGAGGCCACACACACTACTGAGCCTCATTTTGACTTGTTTTAAGGACATTACATCAAAGTTGGATCAGCCTGTAGTGTTTTTTTCCACTTTGATTTTGAGTGTAACTCTAAATCCAGACCTCCATGGGTTGCTAAATTTGATTTCCACTGATAATTTTTTTGTGATTTTGTTGTCAGCACACTCAACTATGTAATGAACAAAGTATTTAATAAGAATATTTCATTCATTCAGATCTAGGATGTCTTATTTTTGTGTTCCCTTTACTTTTTTGAGCAGTGTATAATGAAGAGGGCCCTAAAATGAATTATGTTGCACCCAACTTCCTCTTTTCAATTTGATAAAGAGCCACTAAGGAATAATAAAACTCAGATTATGACCTAGTTGTGTAGTTATTTAATTGAGAAACCATACAATCCAACTCACTGTTACCTATTTTGTTAAGAAAAATATCATGGGATATTTTCATTTCAGTTTTGTTGAAATGATGAAATATGCCACTTAATATGTCCCAATAATTCATGAAAGGAAATTAGCAGATCAAATTTGGTAAAATATATTCCAGAAAAATCTATGCTGACTTTATCTTTACCACTTTACCACCTATCTGTTTTTTTAAAGCCCCTAAAACACTGTTTATGAAATGTTCTACAATATATCAGGATGATCCATCTGTGTTTTTCTGGATCTTCTTTCTTTCTCTTATCTTTTTGAAGTTATCCAACCCTGTAGTTATCTGGGACTTCACCTGTTTTTCCAGGGTTAATTTGTATTTCAGCCATTTTCCAAAAACTTGGGGATTATTATTATTATTATTATTTGTATCTGAGGTAGTTATTGCTAGTGGGTTTTTCAAACTTCAGGCTAATTTATAGTTGTTTACATTGATCACAGTTTGGTACAATCACAATGCAATAACATTTATTGAAATAGCCTTCCTCAGCTTGCTTTCCTTCACATGTGACATTTTGTTATTTTTTATAGTTAGCACTGTTTCTTGTTTTATAATTATTTAAACAGACAGAAGTGCCAAGTAGAAAAAGGGGCTGTTTCTTGCTTCTTTTGTTTAATTTTATTTTTCTTTTAACCTCCTTAAGATATGAATAAAAACAAGTCTGATATATATTATTCTTCTTCTACAGGTCCAGTGGAACGTGTCCACCTGAGTGTCCCTTTTGTGGCCATTAGAAATAAGGAAGTCAATCTCACAGCTGTAGTTTGGCCAAATCAGTCAGGCACCTTCACTTACTTCTGGTGGTTTGGCAACAATAGCAAGGTTTGTTCCATTTTTAGAAATATATTTATTTTCTTTGACAGGATTAACTATTGATTAATCTTGATTCTGAAAAGAGAATGCCACCTGGAACTTCAATAAAGCAGTATAATCTTCTATTACTGTCAAAACAGCTTCTTCATTTTTCAAACTTTATTTCTTTCCTTTTTTCCCCTTTTTATCCAATCTCATGTGGCTGTTTGCTTGCAATGTGCAGTTGTCTGTTACTGGAACATTATGTATAGAAGCTATTATTACTACTAGAATTCAAAATTATACCCATTGTATATATGGATAATTCTGGGTTTCTGCTCAGCATTTAAAAATGGCTAGTTATCAACTAAACAGTGTTTCTAACAAGAGGGCTAGCTTGTGCACAGAATTTTAGAATATGACACATATTTTAAAGCCATTGGGAATCAAATCACTTTTGGTCTCTGTGAATTCAAGCTAAACAACTCTGAACAACTCTGTACTTGTGTGCCCATGCTGCGTGTTCCTGTCTTTGGACACATGTCAGAGGTCTACATGAATGCTCAATGACGATTAATATGGTACTTACATGTACAATTATCAGCTAGTGTATTTCTGAACCTAAATTTGAAAAAAATAATGGAGTTTTTGATGATTGCTGAATCTGATACTCTTTGTAGATGATAAATGTATACTTCAGTAAGATTATTCAACAAATCTAAGGGTTTTTTAAGGCTTATTTTAGGCACATGAATATACAGTTGTTTCAAACTGCGCACTGAAGTTCTTTGAAAACCTAATAGGGGTTCTGAAATGTATACTAGATACAAGCTCCTGTAAAATATTATTTGCCACCAGTGGTGGGATTCAATTTTTTTTACTACTGGCTCTATGGGAGTAGCATGGTGGGCGTGGCAGAAGAAGGATACTGTAAAATCTCCAGTCAGAGGTAGTATTTGCCAGTTGTTGGAACTACTCAAAATTTCTGCTGCCAGTTCTCCAGAACTGGTCAGAACCTGCTGAATACCACCTCTGTTTGCCACCCACTGATCTTCCCATCCAATGATATATATATTTTAAATTCAGACCCTTGCCTGAAAATACACTTCAGTCCAAGAATACTTCCTGAAATCCACTAAAATATGAAAGAGTCTATAGTACATGTTCAGGAAATTGATGGACAAGAAGGCAAGGAGTTGTTTGGTAGACTAAAACTGGAAAATTTAAAGAATCATGGCAGTAATACCTAGTAATAAATACTATTGGATCATCTTCACAGCAATCCAGCTCACCAATTTTTCTGGATCAATATTATCTGCAGTGACTGGCAACAATTCCTAGGAAATGAGAGAAGTATTTCCAGCTATGCCTGTAGATATTAGGTATTACATCTATGAACAGAAAAATGTATGTTGTCTAATTAAGTAAAGACTCTTTTTAAATAATACCATAAAACTTGGAGAATGTTAATTGTCTGGTTTTCCTATAGGACACTAATTGTTTAGAAAGTTATAGCCATTGCAATATTTAAAAGAACTACTCTTCCAGAATCATATTCTAAAATATCCTTTAAAAATTTCAAGCACCTGAGAGCTGAAAAATATTTCCAGTACTATTTTTAGTTATTTAGTTTGTTTTATTGAAGTTTCAAAAGGAAATGTAAAAACAAATGGATTTGTTATTTTCTGTTTACACATTTTCAGTTTCTGAATTAATAATAGTCAATCATTTATACATTTACATCATTCATGCATAACTTCAATTCAAATGCAAGGTTGGGCTTCCAGAAGAAGCAATATAGGATGAATATATGGCCAGTCCCATTTTATTATTTTTATCAGATCTCCAGGGACTTTTTCTATCAAAGTGTCTTTCTGTCTATCTGTTACTTTGGAAACCATCTTATATTGTGAAAATTATATGTCTGCTGCCTTGTTGTCTTTGATTTGGCACCATCATTGTCTTCAGGTTGCAGAAATAAATCTTGTTGAATAAACATTCTCCTTTTTTGATCTTAGGAAGGATTTCACATATTTCATCCTTCATACACGTCCATTTCCATAAATTCATGGCATGCAGTTAGATATTGTAATTATACATTGGCATTCTGGTTGTCTCAAATATACTTTTCCCCCCATAGACATTTAATGGCTGTTTTTTTCTCAGACATTGTCACCCTATTTACACATTAAGTAATTTTACTCACACCAGCATCCATTTTTGTCACATGGGAGCAATTTTGTACATGTATATTTAACCTTCAAGTGACAATGTTGGCTCAGAGTGTGCTGTTACTTGCTTTTTTAAAGTGTTTTCAGAGTCTTTTCAATTTTGGTCCCTAAAATTTGATACCCTAAGCCAGTGCCCCCTGGACCTCAGCCTAAATCCAGCTCTGTATCTGAAATTTTCTTCAATTGACATAGGAGTTTTCACGTTATTTTAAACATAAATTTGTATGGAAAATTGGTGTATAAGTTTATCAGGCAAAGGTAAACAGAAGGTCAAACCTAATAGATTTTTTTTAGCTCCAAATGGATATTTCTTTAGCATAGCATTTGGGAAACAAAGTTTGTATCTTCAATTTAAATTTTATTTATGCATCACAAATAAACATCAAATTGTGAGTCCAAAATATCACCAAAATAGGGGACAGTGTAAAGCTGGAAGAATATTTGGTTTTGCAAAATTATAATAATCATAGGATAATAGAACTAAAAACTAAATAGGGCTGTCACATAGCCAGCCTGTTTCATAATTTCCCACTGATAAAAATCCATTTATTCACCACATGGATTAAAACAACTGCAGATGAACTGCTATTCTCCCTGGGCTTTTGTGCTTTGTTGACTCTTCAGGGGTCCACTAGTTGTTATCACTCTCTGACTTCTATTTATGCACTCTCTACAAGCAAATTACTTTAGGGACTGTTGTCTCAAGTACCAGGAGCTCATGAGATTTGGAGAAGGATCTCAAAGTTCTTTATATGAACTTCAATAATCTGCAGAAAAATACAATAGTATAAAGAAGGAATCCATTTTATGTAAATATCCTTGTTTTAAATAAAATGCAAAACAGCTTCTGCACATTGTATGAGCACATTGGAAATTCTAATTGCAGGCCTGGAGATCTTTGTCTGCACACAGATTGCAAACCAGTAATACAATTAACCAAATACAAATCACTTTGTAATTTCTTTGTATTATAAAAAAAATCATGCTGATTTTTGTAAATCGTGTAAATAATTGGAAAAGTGCTAGAAACCAATGGTAAACTAAGAATAATCCATCATATAGCACAAAAGATCCACACACCGTCCATGTGATGGAGACTGAATAGTTGTAAAAGCATTTAGGACAAAAACTTGGACTAATTCTTCATTATCTTACCACTTTCTAACTGAAGACACTGCATTGCTCAACCTTCTTTGGATTAATGCAGTTCAGTCAGTTTCTGATTCAACTAAAGCCATGAAGTGACTGGTGTAAATGATATTTTAGTCTCTATTTAACTTAATTGAACTATACTATATTAAGAGTATCTATGTAATTATACAGTACAATTTCAAACAATGATTTTATTTACTCATTAATTTATTTAAACAGGGTTATTGTACTGAAGTGGTAGTCCACTATTTTAGCAATATACCAAAATGCTAATTTGCTTGGAATAGTATCACCTCAGTTTAATAAACGAATCTGGATATCTAATAGACTTTGAACAAATGAACCTTGATTTAATTTAGAGCTAGTTTCCAGACCTCAGTGCTGGAATTCAATTGAAGGAACTACCAGAATGTTAAATTTCTATGGTGAAGGTGAAATCAGCCATGATAATGGAACATCTACCAAGAAGGTAGATTTTTCAAAAGAAAACTGGATTTTTTTTATAGCATGACAAATAATATTATAGCACAACACAGAGCCAGGCAAGTTCTATCTCAGGAATTCTGAGGATATAAGGAAAGAAACGTGAGAGAAACAATATTCATCCCTTTAATATATACACTATATTTATAATCAAGAAGAATTGTTGATGATGAACAATTTTTTTGGGGGGGGGGGAATATGCAAGACCTGCCCCTATCAATGAACCTCCATGGGGATTCCACAAATGGGTTTCACTCTGTCAGGAATCCTTCTTCAAACAGGAGTAGAAAACTTACAATATAGTGAAATTAAATGGAAAAGACATGTAAAGATTGCAATGGGCCACAATTGCAGTTGTACAAATACTCTTATGGAAATCTCACAGTTCACAGAATCCTTCAGACTTGTGCTATGAAGAATAATTGGTAATCACCCTGCAATTGTACAAACATTACTGCTGGTGAACAATTGCTGTATTTTTTTCCCAAGGGGAAGATCTCATATTGCCTTGACAATGGGTTTACTTGGAATGAAAGAAAAAAGATGGAACATCTCTTTTGCTGGTTCATTCTAAAAGATTGAATCCTGGCCAGATTAGCTTTCTATAGATGCCAATTTCTGTAGAAATGGATTCAGCTATCAATCACTACTGATTTGTTCTATTATAAAAGCAATGTGATGCAGAAGATTGCCTAAGCTATCTTAAATACTGGTCTCATCTGTACTGCTTCCCCCTCAAAAATACAGATTTAATGATATACTCATACTCACATTTGCACTCGTGATTTTTGTCTTGCAATTCTGAAATTAGCAATAGCTAATGAAATGACTATGATTAAATTAATGAATTGTTGCTAACTGTATGTCACTTTTACAGCCGTTCATCACCTTGGATAGCAGCATCTCTTATATCTTTACCAGTGAAGGACTGAATACTATCACAGTGCAGGTCTCAGCTGGCAACATCCTTATCCAGGACACCAGAAACATTGCTGTGCATGGTGAGTTGACAAAAGAAAATTGAAGAGGTTTACATACCTGCTTTCCTCAAATCTAAGCTTTGAAATGTAAGACCTGGCAAAGAGGTCTAAACTATATTTTCAAGGTACAATTAAAATATATTTGGTAATAACTGTTTAAGGAAAGGGATATGAGAAAGAAGGAAATATGTAGCACTAAGATTCACTACTACATCTTTCAGAAATACTTCAAAACAAATTATTTTAATGATTGGATAGTATAATATCACCATAAATCATAGTCATAGCCATGCATCTATTCTGCTTTATTGGGGGAAAAACAGATTTTGCCTAAATTAGCTTTTGGCTTCCTGAATATAATACCAATTCATCTTTTAAGTTATACAGTAGAAGGAATATTAGAAGCAGAGGGAATGACATATGTTTGTCTTAATCATGACATCTTTTATTTCTGGATTTGTTGGAAATAAAGTCTTAAACTTCAAAATTGAATTATGATGTGAATTATTTCTTCAAGATGTATTTCAGTTATTGAAGCACATTCTGTAAATCAGAGGCATTTGCAGGGAAGGTAGATGACCAAAGCAGCCACTGTATGCAAGTTATGTCCCTTTTATATGTATGTTGAGGTATCTGGAATATGAAGGAAAGCAGTAGAATTTGTATCACAACAATGTAGTACTATTTTTGTGATTTGAGCAGTAATACTACCCTCTACATATATTTCTGAATCTATCATATGTGAAGCATTATATGGAGCACATGGGTGTTTTTGAATGGAGGTGCAATCATAACATATCATCAAAAAAAAAGGGACACTGATCCATTTGATGGCTTTTGGAAATAAAACTTTTAAAAATTCACCACATTTAGAATGTGGCAACCTCAAATTACTTGATAATGTTCAGGGCATAAATCAAGTTAGGCATATATATAAGGAGTTAATAGTATGGAAAAACTGCATGTAAAAAATATTTTCCATTCCAATAGAAACCCCGGATCAAATGGTCATGCTGTACTGTTTTATAAAAGATTTGCTTTTGAAGACTGGAATATATAAGCTGAGCTGGAACTGTGTTTAGTACGAGTGCACATCATATATTCATATACATGAACATACAAACACACACACATTTGTACAAATATACACCTACATAAAAAGTATATGTATGCATATACATACAGATAATACATACTCTGCATTTAAAGATCATTTTTCATCAGCTTGATAGATTTTTAAAAGTTTCTCTGGAAAGAAAAAATATATAAAACTTATATGAGTGGAGAACAGTGTTGTGATACTTATCTTAATCACAAGGTTGCTGATGAATGGAGATGAGTGCTTTGTATTTCATTGTCCATTTTTCAGCTGTCTGTGATCTTAAAGTTTCAATAAATTCCAAAAGAAGACATTCTGCAGACAGTCCTTGGATTTTTATTTTTTTTTAGATTCAGAAGTTAGGAAGATTGCAAGTGATGGAGAGACTTATAGAAAATAATAGTAGCAGTAGCACAGCATTTTCTATATTTCTCAACAATAAAGAAAGCTCAGAGATGCAACCCAAGTAAATTATAAAGAACCTTATATAGGAGGTATAGAAACTGAGTACTCCTTTGTTGGGGAAGAATGCTTTCAGGAAATTGTGTATCAGTGGGAAAGCTATGAAAACCAGTTTGGCACAATGGTTAAAGCACCAGGCTAGAAACCAGAGGACCATGAATTCTACTCCCAACCTAGGCATGAAGCCAACTTGGTGACCTTGGGCCAATTATGCATGCACATGTACATGTTCATACATACACACAAAGGAGGTTTTTACATTATGTTCCTGATATCAAGTAAACAATTGGACTTGAAGTGATATATGCCACTTTACAGAAAATATTTTCATGACTAACTGTAAAGTTTGGCATAAGGATTCTTTTCACAATTCTAATTCTTAATAAATGTGTCAATTTACTTTTTAGTGAATTGGATATTGTTGGCATGGAAATAGCTAAAAATACCACATTTTCCCAAACACAAGCCCTAGACTGATTTTTTTGGGGTGGGACTAATATAAGCTCTACCTAGAAAATAAAATCTGGAGATAAGCATGGTTTGCCAACCCTTTGGTGCAGTGCAGATACCTGTAAGTCCAAGCACAGAGGCAGCGGCAGAGGCAGGGGAAGGGAGACAGGGGATTTAGACATGCTGTATGGCTGCCTGGCTCACAGGAAGCTTGCGGGAGGCTTGTGCGGTGCCACTGATGGCAGGTGAAGGCACAGGGGAGGGGGAGGAAGGCAATCCCCATGTCCTACGTGGGTGCCTGCCCAGTGCAGCTGTGGGCAAGCCAAGAGACAGTGGGATGGAGTGGTGGCATGTAGGGACTGCCTGCCTCCCCTCTGGCATCTGCTTCCACCTGGCTCCGCCATGCACTTTTTGCCCAGACGAAGGCAAAGTTTTATCTGTTCACAAATGGGATGCTGTCTCATTTCTCCAACTGGGCAAAACGTATTTGGTTGTCTATAGTTTGCTTGGCAACAGAGTGTTTTGCCTGGCAGCATCACTTGGCTTCTTGCTCTGGTGCCGTGCTGGTGCAAGAAGTGAGCCAGTGGCCAGGTAGGCTCTTGCTGCAAATGGCTGCCAGTGCTATTGTCACCAGGCAGTTGTTGGGGTGTGGAGTCATGGGGCCCTGAGATAAGCTGGTGTGCACATTAGGTAGCTCCACCACCTGCATCTCATGACAGTGGCACTCAAAAAAGTTAAGATAACCCCCAAAATAAGCCTCAGTGCTTATTTCAGGGCCCAAAAGAAAATAAGACCTAGTCTTATTTTCAGGGAAACATGTATTTCTCTGCATGTGTACGATCCTGAATAAAAAGGAGAAAGCCTAATATGATCAGACATTTTGACATTGACATTTTCATTTCTTCAATGAGGCATAATTCATTTCTATATGTATTGTTACTGTTAAGTTTGAGCAATGAGAGGCTGAACCAGAGCATGAGTGCAACAGTACTTTATTTTACAAATAAAGGGCTGACCGTGCTTGCCAAGCCTGGAACTGGCTCGCAGCAATCAGCAGCCAGTTGGACCCCGCAGCCTGCTTTTATAGCTGGCTGCTGGGGAGAACTGACCAATGGGAATGGGGGAATAACGCCCACACAAAGTGAGTGGACCTGAGTGAGAACTCCTTGAGTCCTCAGGACATAACACCCCTTCCCCCCAGATGCGAACACGCATAGTCCTTGAGGTAGATGGGGGGTTTGTGTTGGCGCCCGGAGCGGCGCAACTCGGGAACATTGTCTGACTGTTCGGTATCAGTCGGTGACGGTTGAGCTGGCATAGTGTCGCCAACACTCTCTCTGGACTGGGCATCCTCGGAAACCACCGGGTTGGTTTCTGGAGTCAAACTCTCGTGGGTTGGATCCGGTTGATCAACTCTCTGGGCGCTGTTGTCCGAGTTTGAGCTGACCGGAACGACCGCTGGCGCAGACTGGTCACTGGGTGCGGTGTGGCTGTGTGGCGGATGGGACGGTTCCCCTTCGACTGGAGACTCTGGATTCTTGTTTGCGAGGTTGCTGAGGCGCCTTCTGAGTTGGTCTATGTGTCTCCTCCAGACGCGACCATCCTCCAGCCTGACTCTATATGATCTCGGCCCGGTGACGGCGATGACCTCGCCCGGAATCCAAAGTGGGTCCCCAGCGAAATTCCTTGCGAATATCGGCTCCTGTAACATAAAATGTCTAACCCCCGAAGTGGAAGCGAGGGGAGAGTCAGGGCAGTATTGTGGGTGCAGTCTATCTAATACAGTCCTCAGGCGCTGGCCCATCAGAAGTTCCGCTGGGGACTTATTGGTGACTGCACAGGGGGTTGAGTGCTGGCTCATCAGGAACCGTGAGAGTTTGTGGTGCCAGTCATCTCTGCCAAACCTAGCGAGGGCCTCTTTGGTGGTCCTGACGGCCCTTTCAGCCAACCCATTACTCGCAGGGTGAAATGGGGCTGTGAAAATGTGGCGAATGCCTAGGTTGGCTGCAAAACGGCTGAATTCTACTGATGCGAACTGTGGGCCATTATCGGAGACCAAGGAGTCGGGTAGTCCATGGGTAACGAACAGGCGCATTAACACGTTGGTGATTGCTAGTGTGGTGGTCGTGGATAGCTGCGCCACGTCTATCCACTTGGAATAAGCGTCCACGACCACTAGGAACATCTTTCCATGCAAGGGGCCGGCCAGATCGATATGGATTCTAGACCAAGGGGCGCTGGCGCTCTCCCATCTGGTAGGGGTGGCGATGGGGGGAGCAGGACGGGATTCCTGGCAAATGCTGCAGGAACTTACCCAATTGACAATGTCCTCGTCTAGACCCGGCCACCACACATAGATGCGTGCCAACGCCTTCATTCTCACAATGCCGGGGTGTCCCTCGTGCAACGCCTCCAGGACTTGGGTACGCAGCGAGGTCGGAATGATCACTCGAGTGCCCCACAGTAGACAACCCTGCAAACTGGACAGCTCCTGCATGCGAGTCTTAAAGGGTGCGAATTTGTTATCAACATTGCCTCCCGGCCACCCCCTCCTCACCCAGTCGAGCACCTGGGCGAGCGTTTGGTCTGCCTTGGTTTTGGCGGCGATGTCAAGGGCGGTGATGGGCAGGTCCAACTGGGTGATTTCAAAAATGGCATTGACAGGAGCTGGGTCTTCAGCCGGAGCGGGTAAGGGGCAGCGACTGAGTGCGTCAGCGTGGGATAGAGTTTTGCCCGGGCGGTGGATAGGTTTGTATGAGTAGGCCGCTAGGAAAAGCATCCACCTTGTCATCCGAGGGGAGAGGACTTGAGGTGTCTGTTTGTCGCCGGCCAATAGGCCCAGGAGGGGCTTATGGTCGGTGACCAGTTCGAAGAAGTGGCCAAAAAGGAATTCGTGAAACTTTTTCACGGCTGCAACAGCTGCTAGGGCTTCCTTGTCTATTTGGCTGTAATTTCGCTCCGTGGCCGAGAGCGTCCTGGAGAAAAAGGCGATGGGGGCCTCGGCGCCATT